TAGTATATAAATACACCCATTGCGTTAACATTTATGTGAAATATATTGGTCTCGCCACGAAATATATTTGATGTTTGCGAATTTACCTGAGCAAAGCTCGAAATATACCCACAGTCCACGAAATATACTGAGTTAGTGAATTCGACATTCCCACGAAATTAAATGCCGAAGTCGCGAAATATAATGAGGCTTGCGTACTAGTACTTGCACTACATGCAACACTCTCGGATGATTACCATCTTCAACATACCACCCTAACCACATCTCAGGTCACCTTTACTATGTCACCCTAACCACATCTCAGGTCACCTATACTATGTCGACTCAGATGATACACATGTTCTATAGTTGCACTGGGCGTGAAAATGTGCCTTGAGATTGCAAGTACGTGAAGCCGAACAAGCCGGCCAAGGTCATTGCGCCCCTCTATCTGTCTGAGAATTCCTTCCAACTTCCTACCACACCATCACAAACCCATTCCAGGACGCTTTGACAGCCCAATACAATACCTTTCCTCATTATTCATTTTCCCATGAAGTACTCCCTCCTCAGTGTCATTGCCCTCTTCGCGGCATCAGCCACCGCCCAAACCAACAACGCCATCGCGGGCATCGACGATCGCGCTCGTTCGCTCCACGAGGTGTCTGAACCCGAAGGCGATGCCGACGTCAACGCCACCGCCAAGGTGACTCTACCCAGAGGCGATGCCGACATCCTCGCTTGCCAGCAACAAAACACCAACTACATCCCGTCTCTCAAGGCCGGACAGTACGTGTTGTGTCTGCCGGTCCTGAACTGGCAGTGACTCCTTTAGAACTCGATGCACCGGGTTCAAAGGTAAAAGAAGACTGACTATGTTAAAGGTCTTAGATCTACTGATTCACAACGCACATTTGCATCCCCTATCGAGCTCTCTTCGGTCGTGTTGACAGATCCTTGACCAATGGGAATGGAGTGCGCTTGCAAGAATACTACCTGTCTCTTGCTAAGATACTCCACACCCAACAGTACGTGCCTTGCTGGTCAAGACTGCCTTGGACAACTTGACAGCCATCCATGAACCGATCGGAGCTGCCGACCGTGTCTCACTGCTGCAAAAGTACCACACGCTCAGCTGGGACTGGAAGAACGTTCCCCTCGAGGAGTTCCTCGGTGCATTCCGCGACTTGATGCGCCGATTGGATCGTGCGGCACTGAACGAGTTGCCGTCGTTTCGGGTAAACAAGTTGCTAACGCTCATGCCAAAGGAAATGCGGATGGTAAGCCCACGTGCCCAAACTATACTGTATTAATATCTATTTCTCGTACACAAATAGTCGTCGCGACGACGATAACGGTAGCAATAAATATCAAGGCCGAGTATTAATACGATCGATACATCTTTGCACCACGCAATCATATAAAGTTATGACCATTGGACGTCCAATACGTATGTACTCGTGTTTTGGTCAACGTGGCATTTCCCAATCGATTCAAATACCAAGCATTAGTAGATAGCCCTTCCAAGCTAACAGAAAACTTGGACCATAGTTGTGCTGGTTTGTTTCAATTCGGCCGGCGCCACTGGGAACGGCAATGGGAACGCGGGTTGCTTTTTTACCACCATCCGAAGCACTGTGTCCATTCCCTCGAGACTTCGCCTCCTTCGGTCGTGGTCGATCCAGTCCAGTGACTGCCTCTGGAACCGCAGCCACACGTCTTCGCACAGAGCCTCGAGCAGCGCCGCTTGAAACTCGTCAAAGAAAGTCGTCGGCACTTCGTTCCCCACAATGTCCTCGTCGCGCCGCAGCCAGCTCTCCAGCCTTGCCACGTACGTGGGGCCCCACTTCACGGACGTCGGACACGCCAACGCACACTGCGGCACGAGACACGTGGTGAGCAACTTCTGGGCTGACACAAGGCGTTGCTTGAATTGCTCGACAAGTTGCCACGCACGCAGCTCTTCGGTGCGAAAGTCCCGCTGGCAGAACGTCATAAACGTTGGCAGGCCATGGTTCGACCGCAAGTACTGCTCGAGTTCCTTCATGCGGCTTGCTGCCTTGGATGTTGTCGTGACCACCGACGTCATGGCTTGGGAAGACGATGCCAGGTGACGCAAGGGTGCGGCGATGTTGAAGAAGAACACGTATTGCATCGCGAGTGTGTAAATCAGGTTGCGGACGTGGAACTCTCGTCCGAGGGGTACCGACAGAATCCATTCCAGTCCGCCGTGGAGGAGACTCACGAGGACGAAAAAGATCGACGTGCGGTACGTTCGTTGGTACGTCCTTCGCAGGCCAAGGTTGTCCATGTATGGGGGCATATGCTTGGACAGCCCGATGCCCACAACCGACCCGAGGATGGCCACCGCAGCCATGGATATCCACAGAATCTATCGTGTCGTGGTTAGAAGGTGAGTTCAGTCGAACGAGAGTCGAGGGTACGGAATTGTAGCTGCTTTGCTGCATCTCGACCGTCGTCAAGTCTGCTGAAATGACCACAGCGACAAGGCAAGGCAACGTCGACACAAACCCAATACATCCCACCGAAGGCAATTGCACCTTGGGGTAGAGAAGCCACCGGTAAAACGCCAGTTGATTGACATGGCGCGGCGTAAAATGCGAGTGATTCACCACCAAGTCGGTGATTTTGAACATGACAACCATAGCCGCCGCACTGAGCACGTACGAGGTGCTATACACACATTCCAGTTTGAAAGACGTCGAAACTTTTGTGAGGGGCGACGCACCAAGCGTAGATAGGAACGACGTAGCCACACATAATAAACAGCGGTGACGGCCATGTCGAGCCGAGAATGTGGATCAATGGAGTGGCCAAGCAGTAGACTGTGCAACACAAGCCTGTTGAGGCCATCAGGTAAGGCTGGCAGTTCTTGATGGGCGAATGGTGCATATGTGTTATGTACAGGTACAGCACTGGTGGCATGTACAGGTAACCGCACCAGAACACCCCCAAAGGCACGGAGGTCACCCACGGTGACGTCATGATCGTTTGTTGGAAATGAAATATTTGTTACTGACGGTTCCAAAGTACGAAAATAGCTCACAACAAGGGGGGACGAGGTGTTGTGAGCTTAGTTGTTGTGGGCTTCAGGGCAATACGCCAAGAAATCCAAGCGGTGTGCTAACATTATGTTACATTGAATCGCCATTTGGCCAATACTGTGAATATCCACCCGAAGCGAAAAGTAAAGAAAATTCCGAAATTGGGAATTATGGTTTTGTACTCCGAGGACATACCCGTGTCTTTGGGGGTGTTCTGGTGCGGTTACCACTGGTGATCTAACTGTGAAGTTAAAACTGTTGGATGCGGGTTAGTTCTGGGTTGGCTAGACGTCCTTTTGCAAGGAAGCCCACAAGTAAAGCGCCCAAGTAATTCTTGGACTTACAGTGTTGTTAACTGTAAATTGCATGTTGTTGTATTGAAGGTGAACGCAACGGTTGACAGGCATTAGCTGTAGATGCATATTAACACCTCGGGCACGTTCATTGGTTTCGACTAAACCCGAACCTATCGCAATCGCCTACATCAAACTTACAGGACGGTGAATGGCATTCCAAGTTGCAGTAGTTGTCGCCAGGCATGGTGGCAAAACAATACGGCGCGCAAAGCGGTTTGCAGTAGGTTGTTGGCGTAGCAGTGCAGAAGGGTGTTCCGTCGAGGATCACTCGTCTAGCTTCGAGCAACGACGCCATGTCCGATAAAGAGGTCGTGGAGGGGGGGATGGGGTTGCCGCTGAGGTCTACCACTGCCGAATGTTTGGCCAGCGCCCAAGGCACTTGTACCAATCGATTGCCGCCCAATAGAACCAGCCGCAACGCCGACGACGTAACCTTAGCACTATCATCAACCAACCACGGACTTGGCAAGGTGGCGATTCGATTGCTTTGTAAATTCAACTCTTCCAAATGTAGCAGCTCCAAAAGTGCCGCGGGGACGTCCTGCAAGCTTACGTTGACCAAGTGCAGTTGGCGCACATTTCTCCATGACTGCATCACACGCTCTGAAACCTCGTGCAGGTCACAGTGCTCAATGAAAATGGACACGAGGGACGGGGAAATGGGTCCACCGAGGGCTGACGGAACCGACTGCAATCGACTGCGTCGAACGATGACGTGGTTCACGCCTGGAGGCAACGGTTCGTCCCACGATGTCATGTTGGAATACAAGATCAAGAGCTTGCTCAGATCCTGGAACGGGGCCAGGGACGCAGCGGGAAGGCCGGACGAGAGGTCGCAGCGACTGATTTCCATGTACAAGGCGTTGGTTCCAACGATGGCAGGGTCGAGCAGCGGCAACGGGTCGACAATACCTTGCAGAACGCAATTCACTTCCACGTATGCGCAATGACAGGACAGGTCGAACAATGGGCGGCTGTAAGCGCGGCAATACTCTGGGCAGTGTGTGCGTCGGACCATCGACCGAGTGATGACAACAATGGACGCCATGCCCAACGTCATATTGACGACCAAGTTGACGCGTAGAAGGAGTCGCTTTTTTCGGCTGAGTTTGAGTTGATCCTGTAGAGAAGACCTGCTCGCATGGACCAACAAGTGAAGCGTTTGCTTGACCCGGGCAGTTCGGGTGCGGGTGACGGGGGCGACGGGGGGCTTCTTCTCGGTCACGGCAGTCAGCGCCAAGTGGATATGGTGCGAAGTGTTCATGACACGGCGAAGGGCAAGGTAGGTACCTACGTGAAGCCCCAAGATCGAGCAAAGGTGGACAAACGTCGACGGCAAGAGTTGCCGAGTCAAGACCAGCGTTTGGGTGGACCACAGATTGTCGTGTTCGAGGGCGGGATGCACAAGCACATAGTCCGACAGTTGAAACACCACAGCAGCAAATGGGTGGCCACAAGACAGCGTGAAGCTCAAAATGGAGTCGGCGACGTTCACCAGGGACGTTTTCGCCTGGGTGTTGCGGACAAATAGAATCAGGGGCGACAGCACAATGTACAGCACCACCACGATAGCGTACGAGACAACTTTGGCTGGCTCGACGATCGTGCGAAACATGGTGGTTGCTTGGGTACTTGCGCACGCAATCTCGATCAAGTTGAAAAGGATGATCGAGTGGTCGTACCAGTTGTCCAGGTCAAAGAAAGCGATTCTTGACTGGGGGGCTATGGCGTCAATGGAGGGCCCTACTTTTTGGCTCAAGGGGCGTTGCTTGCACTCGGAAACAACCACGGAATACACAGCGTAGAGATGAAGCGTAGCAGTGATAACGTATACCACCGACGTCACCAAAGGTTGGTACACTCGGACAGAAACAAGATCAGCATCCAGCGCAGTTTGAAGCAACGTTGCCCACATGACCAAGTACATAGCCACAATGATGTGCATGGTCAAGACCAGGACACGGAGGCACCGGGCGGCTTGCTTTGGAGGAGCGTTCAGTTGTGAAGGGCGCTGCTGCGGCGGGGGTGACGGCAGCAGCATGTGTTATGTGTCGATCTATCTTGAGAGTCACGGCATTTTGTCGGTTACAGGCAGTTACTCGCACGTTCCAGGCAGTTAGCACGTCGTCAAGGACGGAGCTGTTATTTGCCAAAGTCAGACGCGCTGTCAACGAGGTCGAGCAGGCTGACCATCAAGTTTCAAGGTATCGATAAAATGAGTGTGCCATTGAAACGATCGTACTTGCGAGCAGGGATTGTCATAAATATATTGTGAAAAAAATTATTTAAATATATTGCAATAAATATTTTATTATATTGTGCCTGAACAATAAAACTATTTATTGTAAGAGTAAAATATATTTCAATAGTTATTGTTTTCCCCAGAATTATTGCAGTTATTTTATTGAACCCCAAGTAATATTGCCATAGTTATTGGTTTCCAGAGAATTATTGCTGTTATTTTATTGGGCCCCAAGAAATATTGCAATAATATTGGTTTTCCGAATCCAATAACCCAGATTGGGCAATTTATGAGAACCCTACAATATGACTGGTCAATTCTTTGGCTGGCTCACATGTTCCATCTATTATCGCATTGGGGACTCAAAAGAGCTTGCAACATCACGCAACACAAATACCAAATGACTGGAACACGTCAGCAAGTCCTTCGACCCCAGCCCGCGCGTGAGTCTTGGACCACGAACGAAATCGTGGACGTTTTCTTCGCCCCCCCCGATCGTAGACCCCGTTTCCGGCGCAATGACATTCAAGTGCCGCTACTGTCCTCCGACTCCCAAGGGCACTGTTCCGGTCAAGAAATCTTCTGGGAAGAGCAACGTTCGCTCCCACGTGACGTACAATCACACTGCTACTTGGCAGAAGACTATGCCTCAGTCAACCTACGGCGGCCTCGACGCGCCCCTCATCCCATCAGCGTTCGTGAACACCAATAGTGAAGTCGTCTTCAAGACCCTGGATTGGATTATCAGCGACAATCTGCCTTTCATCTGGTTTGAAAAGAAGCGCACCCGTGAGTACGGCTCCTTCAAGGGACTATCGCACAATCAAGTCAAGCACTACATGCATCTGCTGCGCGCCTAAGTTGTTGGAGACATCATGAAGGAGCTACCGGACAAGTTCGGAGTGGTCCTCGATGGATGGACACACATGACTGAACACTTCATTGCTCTGTTTGCTGTTTACGTGAATGCGGGCGATCGCAAGGAGGTCCTGCTCTCGATGACGCCTCTAATCAAAGACACAAGCCTCGCCGATGTCCAAGGGGTCGATGACCTCCAACCGGGCCCTGAGACCGATGAAGTCGTGTCGCACACCGCGGAGAAGCACGTTCACTGGATTCGGATGCAACTGGCCAAGTTCAAGCGCTCTACCTCCTGCATCACCTTTATTGTCGCGGACAATTGCTCCTTCAACAAGAAGATGGCGACAGACATGAAGGTACCTCTGCTCGGATGTGCATCCCATCGGTTCAACTTGGCGGTCCAAGACCTCATGAAGGGTGAGTTTGCTGAACTGTTGGCGAAAGTCCAAAAGGTCATGTTGTCATGCAAAGCACTTAACAATGCGGCCGAGTTGAAGAAGGTGACGTCATTGAAGCCGAGGCTCCTTCAAGCCACACGTTGGTCGTCTGCGTTCGAGATGTTAAGACGCTTCCAGAAGCTCCTGCCTTCGCTCGAACGGATGCCCAAGCGCGCGAAAATGAAGATGCCGTCCAAGGCAATGCTGAAGCGGATGGAACGCTCCCTCCCAACCAAGTGGCAGAGCATGACGAAGTACTTGCAACGTCGCGACTGCTATGCCGCGAATGTCCGTGTCATCTTTGACAAAGTTCTCTCCGAATGGCCTTCGATGGAAAGTCGCCTTGCTTCGGAAGCGAGCATAGTCCACTCGAAGGAATTCGAACACGCCGTCGTAGCCTTGCAACAGCGGGTTGCCCTGACTGCTGCCGACAAAGGCGTGTTGGACAAATTTAAGGCACCCCCAACTCCGGCCCCAAGAGGCGAAAGGACGGCCGAGACGTTTGCAGAGGACCCGGTGACGGATGGAGACATCGACGACGGCATGGCGTCTGCATACGACCCAATCTTGAAGCAACTGCCGCCTACGTCAAACGGCGTTGAGCGCTTCTTCTCGGCTGCCAAGCAAGTCTTGGGCAGGCAGCGGAAGGCGATGAATCCGGCGAATCTCGAAGTCACCTTGTTCCTCAAGGTGAACGCCCGCTTCGGGGACATCAACAAGGTCTCGGTCCTTATTGCGGCGGACACATCTGGTGGTATTGGCGACGGAGCCCCAGAGCAAACCGAGGTTGGTGACGACGACGATGACGACGTGCAAGGAGTCATGGCCAGCGACGCAAGCGACAGCGACGAAGACATGGGCGAAGGACTGATTTCAGTGTTCGAGGATGGCGACAGCAGCGACGGAGACGAAGAGGATGACGACTGCGAATCAAGCGGCTAAAGACGGCGGCGTTAACAAGGACTGCAGGTGGACAGAGCATAAGCAAACATCAATCGGATTCGAACCGATACCTCTGACTAATGTCAGCGCTCAACCATAAAACTTTGATGTTGGGGGTGGAGGTGGATGGCCAAATGGATAATGAGCTTTGACATTTGTGTTTGCAAATTGAGAACAAATATTTCACACATGCGTAATCATAGCGTGACATGAGGATGAGATCATCAAAATGATTGAGTAAACGAATGATTGAGTAATCGAATACGCACCTATATGGACTAATGGGCTGTCCATACCCGCGCCTCATGACCAAAGTACCTTCTCGCTAGGACTCCAAAAATGAGGTCCCTGGGCTCTGGATCGATCTGTGAGCCGAGAAAACTCGATTTTAGTGTTTTGGCTCTCGATTCTCGAAACTCTGACTGGAAATTATTAATCAATTGTGTATCATTATACATACAAACATCAAGTACACTCCATATTTATTTTACCAAAATTTGTCCAATCAAAGTGCGTTATGAATGCGTAAGTAAGTTTCATTGGCTTGAATAGGAGTTTCCTGCATCTGGATCGTAGGTCGAAACCTGCACAAATCTATAACGTTCGCCTCGGACTGACGTGCAAAACAGCCGAAAATTCTGTTAACCAATTGAAAGGCAACATTTGGGCTCGTAAATTGTTTGCCAAAGTGTTTGCACAATTTTAACCAATGGTACTGTCAGAGTTAGTGTAGAATGAAATGATCAACCCCACCCCTCTAGCGTGGATACGCATAATTTTAAAGAGGTACTGCGGCCCATTTTGTGTGCAGCGAAAATATATCCACCGAGTCGAATCTTAGCAATACATGAACTCATGCCTTATGCATACAGAATATCAGTGCAAAAATGTGACTTTTAAATAGCTGAATATCTGTGCATCCTACAGATATTGCTGTAGGATGCACAGATATTCAGCTATTTTATTTCCAAAAATGGGTTACAGCCTCGAGATTGATTGCAGATACCGTCCTCGTATTATACAGGACATGATCACATGCCGCGAGGTCGACTCGGACAGGGATGAGGACGAGACAGAATGGCTATCTCCACAAGAAACGGCGAAGAAGGCAAAGAAAGCCGAAGCGAAGGTGTCCAAAAAGAAGCGCTTTCAAGTCAAGGCAAAAAAACTCTCTGGGAAGTAGACAACAAAATTTGAGTGCAAGTATTTATTGACCAATCAAAAAATATTGCAATATATATTGGCTAATCATTAGTTATTGCAATAGTTATTGCCCTTTGGAATATTATTGCAATAGTTATTGGCCAATCAAAATTTAGTGCAATAGTTATTGGCGAATCAATGGTTAGTGTAATAGATATTGGCCAAGCAAAATATATTGCAATAGTTATTTTTATTCTATCAGAAACCACAATAAATAAACAACAAATAACTCCACCGGAAAATATATTTTAATATATTTTTGACAATTGCTGATCTGGAGTCGTCCTGGGAACCGGCCCTATCGATCTACGAAGACGTTCCTGTGCTATTCCATCGCTGGGCTACGGCCCGGAGCAACGAAGACGGCGTGAACGAAATGATTGACGATCTCACGAGTGCATGTGTCCACCCGATGTAGGGGGGAAATGTTATCGGCCGAGCCTCTGTTTGACTCCCCCGCCTGAGAGTGGGTAGCCGAATGTTGGTTCGGAACAGGACGACATTTGAGGAGTGTAAAATATGACCTGGATCCGGAGGGGCATAGGTTCCGAGCTCATGATACAGTACACTGTACCAATGCATGACTTGTAGAGAGTAGTGAAGTGAAAGGAGGGAACTGACTGATTGACTGGATAATGAAGTTACTTTGGATTTGTCATCGAGGTCACCGATGTGAACACGGTAGCGTTGGGTTGTGAACACCGGCGCAAGACAACAGGTGCTGAATCAAATCGGCAGAGAGACTCGACCGAAAAATCAAATCATAGGATTATGAATTTCATGAACCAATCAAATTCAAATAGATCCATAGCGTTTGTCATTTTCAAAACGATAGTGCAATACAGAACTCACAGGACGCCTACTCGCCTGCACACCACTACAACACGCGAAGCTCCCCTCAGGCCACAGCCCCTAATCTGTACAAGTTGCGCGCGGAGATCTTCGTGAAGTAAACCGTGTGTGCTCGTGGCCACAACGGAGAACGTTTCAATCCGTATGTGTTCGATGGCGACCGATTCGCGCGCACATTTTCGCACACTGCTCAACCCACATGAGTCCAAGAGCATCATATGTTTCGGGGTTTCTACCTGTGTAAAGACATATTTTGCCTTGCTGTTGCGGTCGAGATGCCGACGCGTCTCAAACCGATCGATCCAATTTGAAATCGTTGATGCTGAATTGTTGAACACGTGGGCAACGTTCGACTTCGTCATTCCAATGTGGTAATACGCATAGAGCGCATGTCCGATGGTCTTCTTGGAGGCATGCTCCGACGCCACGTACACAAGAGGAAACATGTCCTTTATGAGCTGTGATTTGAAAATGTCGAATTGTATTTACAGTTGAATATACTATTGTTAACTAAATGCTATATTATTCCACCCGTCTGCTAATTGTTTGCGATTTCGAGAATCGGCATGAAGCGCCAAATTTGGACCTAAAACAATACTATTACTGTATTAATAATAGTACAGTACGTATTGTGGGTTCTACTCGAATTTTCCATGTTCGATTGGTTGAATCGAACAGAGGCGGATTCAGAACCGATCAAAACCTCTGTATTCGGATAAGTTATAGATATATAGAGATTCCGTTGAGCACGCGAAGGTGTAATTCGAAACTTGCCGATCGAAATGAACGCCGACGCAACCATCACCAATTACAGGCCACCATCACCGATATCGTTAGGTTTAAGGAAACTTCGCCAAAGCGCACTCCAATCGAGAGCAATCACTTGCGCGCATGTACCCCGAATGCAACCGTACTAGTACTTGATTGTTGTTGCCTCCCGTCCCGCGATGAGCAGACTGGAGGCCGAGGACTCCTTGGACTTGGTTAACTGTGAGCTTATGTACCACTAGACTTAAGTAACGTGTTCATGGAAACATGACACATAGTACATGTTTGCAAGAGAACCCAAGACTATAGACGAATAGGCAGTGGTAAACTGTGTCGGCGATCACGCTGTCGTGATTGTCAGTTCCTGCTGTTCATTCCCAGACTCAGGCAAATACTGTTTGATTGGCTGAATTAAGGTATTTTCGGCGAATCAAATGTTGAGGTCGATTTATTGCCACTTCACGTCAAAGGGTCAATCCACCCCAAAACGGCAAATTTCACCGGAATTCACATTAGCACGAAGGCCCACCCGCTCACGGTGCTCGAGTTATCCACCCCTCTCAACGCGCTGTCCAGTTTGCACCCATTTATTGGCGCCATGCTGCGTCTGGCTCTGGTGGTTTGATTTATTGGTTGCTTTCGAATCAGTGAAGTCCTCGGCCTACGATGGGACGACATTCAACTCTTTCAGACGGTAAAGGTCGCTACCTTTCAGTATGACTTCGATGGCACAAGAAAGCCCACATTGAAGAGGATAGCCAATTCTATCACTTGGTAGACGAAGCGTCGTTCCCCTGTCTTCGCGTTTGTGGATTTCACGAGGACTACTATTAATAGTAAAAATACAATTATCAATTTGTAATTCTTCACAGTCAATTAGCCACCAATTAACAGGAAGTCCCGTGTTCTGTCACCCCATATTTCAAAACAAAGTGCAAGAAAAAATGTATTACATTGTACCAATTTCTACGCCGAACTTCTTTGAGGATTCTGGCATACAAATTTGTGAAGCCCGTGTACGAGGCTTCGAATTGATCGAACGATTGGTTCTTGCTAAACGCCATCGCCAACATATGCCGTTCAGAGTACTTCTTCCTATCGAATTGTATCATATCCTTAGTGCAGTCCTTCAGCGCGCAAGTCAAGCCGTTCTCGGGGTCCGCCGCAAACCATTGTTGCCACGCTTCGCGAGCCGATCGAGCCGTAGGTATGGCCTTCTGGACAACAAAATGTCGATTGATAACTTCTTTGTTGCCTTGGTTGCAAGATGGCTGGTAGTCGCGTACTGGTGCACACTCTTGGCCAAGGTTTGAGCGAGCTCGTCCAATGTGCAAGGTAAACCGCCAACACCGACACTATACCATTGAACTGGCCCATGCATGCTACCTGTAAGTAGCAAGTTTCTTGGATCGATTTCGTTGCTGATGCTTTGATGTCCAAGTACTCATAGCACGTTTTAGCGTCGGCCCAAGGACACCAAGCCATCAACTCACAAAAATTGAAATGACCCTCTTTCGATTCGAACACCCGGTAAAACCAACCACCACGGCGTAAGCTGTGCAACGAAATCCCAATTGGTGGGTATGGCGTCATTTCGACGACCTCCCGTAACAAGTTGCGCAGCTTGGTCTGCTCGAGACTACGACACCAGTCGACTCGTAGTGCGCCACCTTGGAGCATCGCAAGTTTGGAAAGGCAAACGCGTGCTTGGTCAGACCGATGCGGTGGCCTATTGCCAAGGGGTGGTCGATGAGTTGTTCGGTGATCTCCTGATGCACGTACTGCTCGGATGGTTGGATGACTTGTTGAAGTATGCCCAGACCACGGACGAGATGTTGCCATGTTGCGTAAAGTGCTTGAGATCTGCCAAGCGTACGGACTGAAGTTGTACCCCGGGAAGTGTGTCTTTTACACCACCCGGACCGTATGGTGTGGGAAAGAGATTTCAGCGGACGGCGTGGCCCGGAACGGATCCAGGGCCGCCACAGACGGCAGCGGATCTCCAGCAGTTCATGTGCACCATGCACTGGATGAGGGGGAATACCACGCAGTATACGGAGCTGGTAGTCCCGTTGATGAAGCTGTTGGATATTGTGGCCAAGGCGGCCGTCTCCCGGAAGAAGACGGCCTTGACGCGTGTTGCGCTGAGTATTTCGACCGAATGAAAGAGGTGCTGAAACGTATGGTCCCGTTGTCCCACCCAGACCCGGACAAGATGGTATGTTTGTATACCGACGCGAGCGAGGGGGTCTGGGGGGCTGTTGCGGCACAAGTCCCGGTCCACGGCTGGACCTACCCGCGAGCGACCAGCGACATGAACCGTTGGCGTTCCTGAGCGGATCGTTCCGAGGAGCGAGCGGGCGATGGTCGATTGTGGAGAAGGAGGCATTTGGGGTTGTCGAAAGCGCCAGGAGTACCTCCTGATCCGTTCGGGAGGTTCCGATTGTTTACGGACCACCGGAACCTGGTGTACATGTTTAACCCCCTGGGGTCGAACTTGAGCATGGCCAAGTACCATGCCCACAAGCTCCAACCCTGGGGGCTGACGATGACGAAAATCCCGTACGTCGTGGAGTGTGTGGCCGGAGAGGAGAACCTGTGGGCGGATCTCCCGAGCCGTTGAGGAAGTCCTCCTCGACCGGACCGGAGCTTTTCCGGTGGAGTCCTGGAGTGCCGGATGTCCAGGCTGGCTCTGGTGTCCACGTTAAGGAACGATGAATTTGTGTAGCCGACGGTGAACGCGATCACGGATTTATCGGCTCGGTACACGCATTGATCGGTCTCGAGTCAATCGTCATCCTAAGATCTCCCGGATCTTCTTCGGGGCAATCCTCGGGGCCGAGTCCCAGCGCAATCTACTGTTGAGGTTCACCAGACCCGCTTCTTCCAGCTCCCGGACATGCTTTTCCAGGAACGCCATATGGGTTGGAGGGTAGGCCGCAGTCCCGACTTCACTGGTACAACCCTTTCCTTGAGGCGCACCTTCAACGGTTCCACTTTGACCGGCGGGTCTCTCCCGAATTTCAGCCGGAACACGTCCCGGAACTCCATCAACAAGCCCCGGAGCTGCTCGACACCTGCTGTTGGCATACCCGCGATAGCCGCCTCGGCCACCTTGGCTTCCAGGACCATACGCACCGGACCATCGTCATCAGGCGCATTTCCAAGTTCTGGCGTTGCACACGCCATCCCTTCGTCGTCGTCGATACCGTCTGACAACTCTCCCATCTGCGAGTACGGGTGCATCGCGTCATTGTTGCCCAGCTTCTGCATCACGGGCTGGCCCAGCGTCAGCTCAAGGGGTGCTACGGATCATCGACCCAGATCCGGAGCCCTCGCAACATCAGCCACCTAGTTGTCCGCCTAGTATGGCCGGAGATCCATCGAATCCATGACCGTAATCTCCGGGGATGCTCCCGCAGCCAACAGCGCAGAAACCAGGCCTCCGGAAGCAACCGACAAATCATCTCCTGAGTCTAGGAGTTATGCCTGCACGGTTAGGACACCGTCCACAATAGCCGGGAGCTCAGTCCGTTTCGCGTCCGGGGCATCCGTCTTCACCGTCGCCAGGCGGCCACCAGGTGCTCCCGGGGCTCCTTTCTTGCCGCTCCGACCACGTCCGAACGTACTTTCGTGTGCTCTTAGCAGTTGCTTGACCTCTTCGGGGGTGATCCCGGGACATTCCCGGACCCGATGCCTGGTCGACTTACACTTCAGACAACCGTTGTTCGGTGCACCGATAGCCGGTGCGTTCGGAACAGGTGTCAGGGGCTTCGTGTCTCCCCTCGGGACCCTGGGTCCTCCCAGGACCTTCAACCCGAGCGGCTTCAGTAGGTCTGGGCTTGCAGGTGGCTTCGACTCTTCTTCGTAACCCTCAAAACGCTCGTGACTGATCGCATATTCCCACAACCAGCGCACGAAACGGTACACATCCTTCTTCAAAGGCTTGTTTCGCGTCAACGCCATCTTCTCGGTAACAGCATGGTGTAGTGACGCAGGCTTGACGGCGTCCGTGATGATCGTCACGATCGCCTGGCTCGCTTCCCGGATCACCCACTCCTGTCGGTCGCGACGGATTGCTGCAGCCAAACCATCCAGCATACGTCCGATCCGGGAATCCGCGTCCGGGACCGACATATCAAAAGCAACAGAATCTTTAATCCACTACTTCTGAGTGTCCAGGGCCCGGGATCGACGTCGTAACTTTGCTTGAACCAAGCAATCTAGAAATCCATTCGCCCTGGCACACGTCATCGGGATCCTTTCCCATATCCCATTCGGCAATACGTTGCTTCGTCGCAGGTTAGATACACGCCCTTACCGGCATGATGAACGGTCGGACCCCGTTGGCAGTCAGGGTATTCGTCTGGCTGATATTCAGGTTGTACGCGGCCATAAAAACGTGTCGTTCTTCCTTGGTGGATCCTATGAGCATCGGGTTCTTCAGGAGGGCCGGAGCGTTGTGCAGGTGCATGTCGTTCTGTCCCATATCCAGATCTTCCATGTCCAGCGCAGGTCTGGGAGCCGTCCCAGGATGTACCGCCAAACTCGGGAGCCGCAAACGTCGCCGGTCTCCCGTATCAACCGCCACCGTTTGTCGCCTTCTTTGTGGTGACCGGAACAGCCGTGGCGCAGTTGCACTTGTCCGGGGCCTTCCATGGTCTTGAAAACGGTCTACACTCAGTGCACGGGCCGCAGGACTCGTCGAGCGATCCGATAGAGTTCACGTGGTCGCTACGGGGTAGCTCCATGTCCAAGGCATGCTTATTTCCTGTTCCAGGAAACTCCATGCGTTCAGTCGCTAGCGCGTCTGTAAGACAGCCAAAGAATTCTTTTGCTGTTTTGCGCCCGTGTTCACAACCGACGGCTACCGTGTTCACAACGGTGACCTCGATGACAAATCCGAAAGTAACTTCAATATCCAGTCAATCAGTCAGTTCCCTCCTTTCACTTCACTACTCTCTACAAGTCATGCATCGGTACAGTGTACCATCAGCTCGGAACATATGCCCATTTTCAAGTTTGCAGTACAGCACTGAAGATTGAGTTTGTCCTAAATTCTACTGGTATCACCACCAGCTTGATGAAGCTGAGTCAAATCGGAGGCACAACCTTTAATTCACACTGGTAGTGGGATAAATCGACGAACTAGCTATGTGTGCGGTCAACCTTCGTCCCAATTATGTTTATCCCTATTGACTAAGGATAAAATGGAAAAAGTACAGCCACCTGTGGGAATTGAACCTACTACCTAATGAATGAAAGCACCGAATTTTACCGTCAGGCTGCGCTGACATCTTTATACTGTAGCGTATACCCATAGCTTCAAGATATTATTCCTATGATACCCTGATTTGGAAAGGTCGCCCAAACATGGCAGCCAACCTTGCCAACTTCCAACGAGGCAGCAAGATATGCTCTGTGTGTTGCTGCGTGATACAGTAGTGCACACAGCTTGGCGTGGACATTGCTGTCTCTTGGCTGTGTCGAAAGAATGAATACATGCTAGGGTCTCCGGCGATTCACCAGCGTGTTGTAGGAGGCTGATCACTTGCAGAGATGTGTGAGCGTCCAAGCCGTTAACGCTAGTGGTGGCTCGTTGTGGCAGCATTATGTGCTCATTTTGAGTAGCGAGCACATAAAATAAGTAGGATCACAGCATACAAAAAGGTGGTTCATCAACTAGTCTCAACAAAACCTCGCCTTTGAGGTCCACCATACATAGCTGCCTTAATTTTCAAGCAGTCCCGCTACTATGCACTCCACCAAGTATACAATGTACTAATTAGATTTTCGTCCGTACGTTGTTCTATTTCTTGCCTTCGCAAGATGTGCGTATTAGAGACCTTTAGCAAACCCGGAATTTGAAATTCCTAAAATAAACCTTCGGGTTACTCACACCTTCGAACTTCGCTTACGTCAAATTCCGCTGGGAATTTGGCTGAAATATACTATGTTGCACGAAATACAGAGAACTGAGTAGGAACTGACGCAGCTTGGCACCGGCAATATTTATTTAAATATGAAAGTATTTTGGCCAATCACATACAAATAATTTTGTACTGTATGATTGGACAATTCAATTTCTTATAATTGAATCTGATTGGATAATTCAAATCTGCAGGTGACATGCATGAAAGCACGCCATTTCTCGAATGACCAGGCCAAAATGTTTAGCTCGGCGCCATCAGCGCCGATACAAAATGCGTAAAATCTGAGTGTTGCTTCGCATGAATGCTCTCCTTGGACCTTGCTCCAGCGACAGGATGCTCGCACGAACCTACAACATTCCTGAGGCTACGTTGCGTCGTTGGAAAGCGCGTGCGTCTGACTTTGTGGAGTCCTCCGACCATAGATCCCGAGCGACTCTAATGGGTCGCGGACAATCAGAAAACATCGACTTCTCGCAACAGCTGGTCGAATTCATGGAGTCGGTGCGCGAAGGCGAGTACTTCCTCACGACAGCCCACTTAGTGACGTGGATCAAGTCCCACCAGCCCGAATGGCTCTCGGAATACATGGCAGCCAAGCCAAACGAAGTTTGTGAGTACAAGTGCTTGATTGAGTGGTGCCTGAGCTTTGCCAATCGACATGGCTACAAACATCGCGTGCCCTGTCCAGCGAAAGCGTCAAAAGGAGAACTGTTGGCCACACAAGACGAATTTGATACGGCGTTTCAAGAGAAGTTTGAGCATCTGCCGCGGCGTGCATGGATCAATGTTGACAAGACTCCTGTCTACTACGACATGCCGCCTGGTCGAACGCTTGCGAAAGTGGGAGAGTCGTCCCGGGTACTGGAGACGCAGAAGCATTCCGATCGTGTGACTGCCGTCCTATAAATTCGCGGAAATGGTACCGTTCTGTTATGACCTGTACTTATGCTTTGTATAGGAGAGAAGCTTCCACTACTGATCATTGTCAAGGGTACACCTGGAGGTGATATCAAGCGCTTCGAAGTGCCAACCAATCCACCTGAACCTGAAACTGGCCAAACGTCCTGGTGAATTCGTAGGAACCCGATGTTACCAGGGCCACTTGACTGGGGCTCGAAGGAGTTTCTGTTCCGGTTCTTGCTTTAAACTACTGCATTAGCAACGACACTCGCACACACCCATATATTAGTGGGCAAAAAGCCGAGCAGTTTTGGGCCCGCAATGAGGCGAACTATTGCACCTATTGCGAGCCGGACTGCCCTCGCACAGCACGATCCTTAGCTACCCGGTGGAGCAACAAGCAACATACTAGAACAATGCAACAAGTTTGGGTGTTCAGCATGGTCTCGTTTAACGTACGCTCTTGACTCCGGTATTTAGCGTGGTCCGTTACTCGAGCTTAAGATCTCCCAAGCATCGTCCATGCCCTCGTAGTAGTCGTTCCATTCCTTGATGGCATTTCACAACCAAGCCTCCATATCCGGAAGTGACAGTTATGCGGATGTTATACCGTTTTACCGTTGGGGTTGCGCAAAAGTAAAATATAGTGACGATAAACGTCAAAATACAGTCTGATTATACCGTCGCACCATTAGGGATATGCCCTTAAGTTAGCAGTAGTGAAACTACACATCTACTTGAGGATATGCGTCGCTGAGCCGACACCACTGAAGCTCGCCAACCTGTCGTCCTGGTTTGTCGAGCTCTGCTCGATTTATCTTTTTCTCGGGATGCTGAGTCGAGGTCGAGAGACAATGAATTTACAACAGCATTTCAAGAATCTACAATTACAGTACCTGTACAGAATCCAGAATCTACAACTTCAACTTATCCACATGTCGCGTACGTTACCATGCACCTTTTCATTTCCAGCTTCGTACGCTTTTGCCCTTACCCTTGTAACCCCGGAACCCCGAGCCCCGTTGTGTTTACTACGTAGTACATATAATGTGTGCCCCTAAACCACTTGTGCTTTCATTTAATGCCTGTTCCTGGGGTTATGTTGCATCGCCCGTGCATAGCTAACTCTAACCACTGTCCATACACATAGTGGAGAGGGCGTGTTCTGCAGCGTGCAGAGCAATTGGGTCGCGCGTCAGTTTGACCCATTGCAAAAACACACACAGTCTGTGTGTGTGGCATGTCAAAGGTTCCGATACCTTAGTGGAGGTACTAATTACTTTAGTGAATGGTAGTCAGTAGGCGCCTCGTGGCGTGCTTAACCTCACTAATATCAGTGTGTATATTTGCTGCCTTGATGAAGGTCCCGTGGCCGAAAGCCAAGAAGAAGCGGGAGACAAAACAAAGATATCTTTAGTTCATTGTTGAGCTATTCACTGGGGATGGTACGAGAACATTCCTCCGACGAGGAAATGCCAACGAACGCCGAAGAACGATCGCGGCCGCGTGACCGAATCGAGGAGCCGCGAGGACGCGCCGCTCGACGCACCGTTGAGAACCCGTTCAGATCTCCCCGACGACGACAGCCACCTGC